AAAAGACAATGATATACCTTCAAAGGAAGAAAGGAGAAGACAATCCACGAGTAAGGAAGTAATGAAAAAAGTTTGAAACTCCTGAGCAAAGGAAATAGCCAACAAACCTATGAAGAAGGAGTGAGTGTTTAGTAGCAAGTGAAACAAAAGGAGGAGTATGAAGTAAAATATGATTTTTAAGAGAAAAATAATCGCAAATCGACAGTGTGAATTAAAAGTTAAATATGATCTAAAGGCAACAATTCAACCATCCTATCAAGGGCATTATAAGATCAAAAGACACTTGAGTGTCCTAAGCAGGGAAATCATACCCTAACTTGTACCCCTAAAGCCACACACTCAAAAGGAATAGTGAAACATTTCCATGATGGAAAAACATTTAATGCGCCGGTTTCCCGCTACTTTTGCCATTGATTCATGGTGTTTCCATTTATATCCTAAGAGAACCACTTTCCTAGAGGTCGACCACAACTTCAAAGATTTCCCCGACTAACTTATGCCCAACAAGCCTTGGGGACAACTATTATGCGCCGACCAAAGACCCTAAAAGACAAGGCACAATCCAATTACATTCCACTCAAAACTAACCAACGCATAAAATCCATCGCACATGAGATTCAAGATACATTATTCTAATTTTCACTTCTTACTATAATCATCTTGAATTCTGAACTAACTTAGACTTTAGATTACAAAACTTATAGGTCCATCCCGCGTCAGATATCAACACCATTAATTTATAATCATTCATCATTTATCCATACTAATTCTAATTCTGAAACAAAACAATAAACAAAGTAATGTAAAAAGAAATATAATTTAGCTAACCCACTAGATTTTTGAGGGTGTGAAAAAATTCGGATAAATCATATCTGAATTATATCTTCACCTTAAATATTTGGTATAATGCCAATTTTTTCTATTGATACAATAAATTATGCAAAATATTTTATAATAATTACTATATTTTTGGTGTTTTGAAACCTATAATAAATCACAAACCAGGTTTAAATCTTTAAAATTTATTATAGATTAAACTCAAATCTTGTAACACATGCTAATCTAATTGAGGGGTTGCTAGATAAAATTCTCCCGGAGGTACCATGCCCTTTAAGATGCGGGCCTGTTCAAATTGTTTAAATACGGAAGAATTTTGTTAAGTACGTGGTTTTTCATAGAGGTTATTAATTTCACGGTATTATCTCATTAAACATATGTAAATATTTTTACACCGAAAACAAAAATATACAAAGTTCAAACACAACCTATAATTTGCATATAATCGAATAATCGAACGAAAAAAAAAAACAGAGAAAAAAAAACATTTTACTAACCTTGAAATAATCAAATAATTGAACTCAAGTGATGAACAAATTTTATTAAATGATAAATTTTTAGAAAAGATAATATATTTAGCTTACCTCTTCTTTGAACTCCAAATTATAAGTATATATTTTCTAAAAAATCTGAATATTAACAGAATAAAAATAAACTTTGAAAAATATAATAATAAAATAAAGGGTTAAATATATTTTACTCACTCGTAATAGTAGCGAATTTTGATTTACTCCGTTTTAAAATATAAAAAATTTCGTCCCTTAACAAATATAGATTTCCAAACAAAAAATTCTACAATCCAAGATTTCCTTTTGGTTTCAGATGTGGCATTTGATTGTTTGCTGACTGGGTAATTAAATGTCACATTGGATTATTTGTGTCTATTACTTATAACATATTTCGTATACTGATTCACCCCCTTAAAAAGCTAGGGTTCACTATCAAACAAAGTTAGCAAGTTAATAATGGGGAAGAAACTTGTAGCGAAGAAGAAGAAGCACCCGAAGAAGGCGAAACATTCAAGGCAACCGAAGAAGCACGACGAAGAAGGCGCTTCTCTTGATACTGATAAGGTAAGTTTTTTCAGCTGCTTGTTAGTTTACTCCTACATACAGTGAAATGTTAGTTTTTGAATGTTTTCCCAAATGATTTCAGAATAATCACCTATTCAATGTTGTGTTCTATCATGGAGGTGAATTTGTAATGTTGAACAACGGGGTTATGATTTTCAGAGGGGGTGTAAGTACTTTAGTTTCAGATCTCCACTTGGATCAGTTGACAATGCTTAACATCCATGGGTTGGTTACTGATTGGAGTTACAAGCAGGGAACTTATAGAACGTGGACTTTAATTCGTGAAATAGATGATAATTATTTCTAGATTAGGAAGGATGATGACTGCTATGATTTCGCTGCATACGCGTGTGCGACCCAGCTAGACGGGGAAATGTTCGTGGAGCATGATGTTACTCATATTGGAGCCTCAGTAAGTAGTCCAAGGTGTGTTAATGAGAATGTTTAGATGGAGGGATGTGATGACGATTTAGTAGAAGGGTTGGGTGATAGTGAGGATGAACGGGTCACTGCTATTCTAGATGGTTTTGAAGGGATTGATGTGATTAAACCTATTAATAAGAGCCCTTCGGTTGGTGAATTTATGACTGGGTCCAAACAGAAAAGTTGTGAGGATGAAGAATATGTGAGTGATGAGCTGGATAACTCTGACCCGGATTTATATGATAGTGATAAAGAGAAAGAGCCAAAGTTTGAAAAGTTTAGGAAAAAGCATTTAAATAAGAATTTTAAATTTCAGTGGAGTATGCAATTCAACTCCCTAGATGATTTTAGATATGTCATCCGTGAGTGATCAGTATTAAATGAGAGGGAAATTACGTTTGTGAAAAATGAAAGTGACAGAGTAAGGGTAGTATGCAGAGACAATTGTGGATTTTTAATGTTGTGCTCCAAAGTGGGTCATAAGCTCACTTATGCTATAAAAACCATAGTTGACAAACACACATGTGCTAGGGTTTTAGACAACAAATCTGCAAGTTCAAGGTTGGTGGCTAAGGTTGTGTTGAAGAAAATACAAACTTCTAATAATGTTAGGATCTGTCATATAATTCAAGACTTGAGGCAAAATTATTCTGTGGGAATCACGGTGGCTTGGGCATGGAATGCTAAACTCATAGCCAAGAAGACAAGTATGCAATATGCTATAGTTTTCTATGAGTCCAATTAATGGTGAGGAAATGTGGCCAGAAGTTCAGTTATAGGAGATTTTACCCCCTATGTATAAGAAAGGTCCAGACAGACCAAGAAAGTTAAGGATAAGGGAGTATGGTGAAGAGGGTGATAGAAGGAGGAGATTGTCATATGTTTTTTACAGATACACTAAGTGTGACAAATTTGGTCACAATGCTTAAACATGTAAAAGCATAACACGGGATGCTAATGGACTAAAGAGAAAGGTATTATAAGTGTGTATTTTGAACTGACATATCATGTATTTTGAAATAACAAGTGATGTGTTTTATTTTTGTAGAGGAAGGTCAAGGTAGGTACAACTGATGATGTTCAATAAGTCGGTGAAACTGGTGCAACTGAAACTGCAGCGCAAACTGGTGGAACTCAACTGCAATATCCCATGCTGCAACTCAAACTGCAGCACAAACTGGTGGAACTCAAACTGCAATACACGCTGCTGCAACTCAAACTGTAACACAAACTGGTGAAACTCAAACTGCAGCAAGTGAACCAGTTGACTATTTTGGCGACATAACTGATGATTTCATTTCAAGCATTCCTGAAATCAACACAACATAGTGTTCTGTTGTGATTGGTAAACTAGACAAAAAAGGCAAGAAAAAAGTGAAAGATGCCAAGCCAGTGAGAAAGAGATTCTGTGAAAGAATAAAACTCTAGTGGTTTCAAAAATCAATCACATGGTCAGGTTCAAACCCCGAGCAGCCTATGTATTTGACAGAAGAAGAAGGAAGTGGTTCTAAACGTGCAATGAAGAAATCTAAGAAATAGTCTTATGTCTGTACTGCTTATTATGTCTATTTGATACTTTGACATTAAGTTATGGTTTGTGTCCTTATAGTTTCTTAGGCTGTTATACCCTTTTGTAATGACATTGACATTTTGTTCTACTTATGCCTTCATGTAATGACTCCTTTAATATTTATTTCAATTGATAAGGTTATTTAATGATTTCAACTGGTAATGCAATACTGTAAGAAAAATGAAACACTCTTATTGTATCAAAGTTGACATTAAACAAACATTATATTGCTTTTGTTTAACAACACTGCAAAGATATTACAAACACATATAACACTTCACTTGTGCAAAAAAAAATTACAAATACACTATAATTGTACAACACTGCAAAGATAAACTAAGACATTAAAATTGTCATATTCAGTTGGAAAATTTTCCTCTTCAATGCAACTATCTTCAACTTGGATTTTTCCAGTTTCCTTCAGTTCAAACTCCACTTTTGCCATATCACAGTGTTTGCAATAACTTTCATAATTTGAGATTTCACTAATGGAGTGAGCAATTTCATCATCTCAAATAAACAGATCACTATTGTCCATGTGTAGAATTTTCTACATTTCTAGAATTTTCTATTACGATTTTTTACGGTGTTAGAAAACCACATCTTCATCGGACGACAACATTCGCATCTAGGAACCTTTGAATACTCGTACGAATTGCAACTTCCAACGCTCTTGCTAGCATCCTCCATTTGAACGTATGGACAAAATCGGGATTCAGAAAATGATTTACAGTAGAAATGGTTCAATACGGTAGGAAGAGAAGAAATGAGCAAGACGGTAGGGACATAAGGGGTACACGAAACGACTTGCACTGAAATTTGTTGTGAAAACGAAAAGAAGACGAAGACAGAAAACCCTAGACACAAACAGTTCAAGGTGGCATTTAATTATACAGTCAACAAACAATCAAATGTCACGTCTAAAACTCAAAGAGAATCTTAAACGGTAAGATTTTCTATTTTAAAATCTATATCATTAAGAGGCGGAAAAAAAAATTTTAAATGAGATAATTCAAAACTCGTTATTGTTGCGAGGGAGTAAAATATATTTAATCCTAAAATAAAATTCAATTCGAAAGCAGGGTAGCATTTCATTATTAAATGCGACTTGGAAGTAGCGGTGGAGTTGGTAACGGCAATGACCCCATACCCCTAGCAACCCCTCTAAGCACATGTTTCTGAACTTTCCCCGTTGCAGTCTTCGGCAGCTCCTCCATAAACACAACCGTCTTAGGCACCATAAAATGCGGCAACCTCTCCCTACAAAACTCCTTAACCTCTCTCTCCGACGGCATTTCATTTACCTTCAACTCATCCTTCAAACTCACAAACGCACACGGCGTCTCTCCCCAAAACCCATCCTGTCTCGCCACCACCGCCGCCTCTTTCACCGCCGGATGCATATACAAAACCCCCTCAACCTCCACACTACTCATATTCTCTCCACCACTTATAATCACATCTTTGGTTCGATCTTTAATCTCCAAATAACCGTTTTCATGTATAACTCCAACATCACCCGTGTAAAACCAACCATTATTTCTCATACACTGCCACGTGGCTTCCTCATCTTTCAAATAACCAAGCATTACACAGGCACCTTTCACAACTATCTCACCAACTGTTACACCGTCGCGCTTCACGCTTTCTCCGGTGGGTCCCACAATGTCAAGCTCGGTTACAGCAATCCTCTTCACTCCCTGTCTCGCCTTCATCCTTGCCTTCTCCGCCGTCGGAAACCTATCCCATTCTCTTTTCCAAGCGCACGATACAATCACACCGCACGTCTCAGTCAATCCATATCCATGAGTAACGTCAAAACCTAAAGCCTCAGCGCGAATGAGAATCGTCGACGGCGGAGATGAACCTCCGGTGAGGAGATGAACCGGTTTTTTTAACGGTTTTGATTTGTTGAAATTTGAGAGAATGTTAAGCACAACCGGTGCGGCGCACATGTGTGTTACTCCGTGAGATTCGATCAAACGGTAGATCGTCGGCGCGTCGACTCTACGCGCGCAGATGTTTGTTCCTCCCACGGCTGCGATCCCCCACGGGTAGCTCCATCCGTTAGAGTGGAACATCGGTAGCGTCCAGAGGAAAACCGGTTGTATAGGTACTGACCAGTCTATGAGAGAGTCCAGTGAAACGATGAATGTTGCTCTGTGGCAATGCACTACGCCTTTCGGAGACGACGTCGTTCCGGATGTGTAGTTTAACGTAATGGGATCCCACTCAGAGTCGGGTCGGATCCATTTGAAATTTGGATCACCTTTATCTATAAGACCCTCATAGGTGTTGATGATGTTTGAATATTTTTGTGGTGGAGGAATCTGGTGTGGTGCGAGAGTATCATCAGTGATGAGGACTAGTTTCGGGGTCTGAATGTTTGTTGGGAATAAAGAGAGAGCATTGAGAGTTAGAGTTAAAGAGAGAATGTCTACAAAGATGAGTTTTGATTCGCTGTGGATGAGGAGCACGGAGAGGGAGTTATGGTCGAGTCGGAAGTTGAGGTTGTTGAGGATTGCACCGGACATTGGGACGGCGAAGTGCAGCTCGTACATGGCGGGTGTGTTTGGGGAGAGAACGGAGACGACATGGCCTTTTCTGATGCCGAGAGATGATATCGAAGATGCGAGTTGGAGGCATCGACGGTTGGTTTGTGACCATGTGAAGGAAGTATTGTTGTAGATGATGGAAGTGGAGTCACCGTAGACAATGGCAGCTCTGTCTAAGAAGGTGAGTGGGGTAAGAGGGGTTGAGTTTGCTTTGTTTCTGGTTAAATGGTTCATTGTATACGGAGAGGTATTGTTTGAATTAGTACACTTGCAGTGGTGTTACTCATCACTATTTAAATGAATAAAGTGGGTTTTGGATTTTGCTGTTGTCAATTCAGACATTCAATTCATTCTAACAACATTAAGATTACGTGTATATTTTGGTTATGTAGTGCGAAAGATTAGTTTTGTTGGAAAAAAATTGATTTCGAGTAATTGATTCTAAGAAAACAATTATTGTTAAAATAAATTGAAAAGGAAGTGATTTATTTTAAGATAAATTCATTAAGAAAAAAAAGAGACTAAAAAATTCGTAGAATTCCATACTATTACAAGGTGGCCCAATAATGATAGTTTGTTAGAGTAAAATTCTCCAACCAATTACTTAACTAACTCAATAAATGGCAAAACTAACTAACGGAAAAATATATAAAATGTTTTACATTGTAACAATCCCTCAAATTGGAATGAATGTTAAGCATTCTCGGTTTGTGAACCAAAGATGTGATGGGACTAAGATGTACAACCTTAGTGAATTGGTGCAACTTTATTCTATGCGTTCATTGTCATAAGAGAGATTTGTGAATATGGTTAATTACAATAATACTTAATATCAATTCGTGAAGTAAAAAATAGTAGTAATTAAAATAAATGATCTACAGCAATAATAATTTGTGTATAAATATATAATAGAATAAGACGTAAAAAAAATGAAAGTTTATTTATCTAATTTAATCAAACGATCCATTTTAGGGGAGAGAACAACTCTCCATTCACTATACTCAGAAAGTTGTTACAAGATATTACAAATAAATTATAAGAAAATAGTCTTTGCCTTCAGGTTCTAAAGAACAACCTTGACTCCCAAAATAAATCTTATTTTCTACCCAAGTGTTTCTCAACCTCTTCAACATTCAATATATAAATAACCCAAATCCAATGTATAAACAAGTATTTCTTAATTCCCCAATTCTCTTAGATAACTCAAAAGGTTTCCAAAACCTTTGCCTTTCTAAGGTTTCCCTTGAAAATAGCCAAAACCCTATGTTATGCCCTTAAACCCTTGCTCTCCCCTTTTGTTGTAAGCTATAAGATTGTCACACATGCAAACATATAAGAGATACATATTTATAATATCAAATACCTAACAACTAGGATCCAAAATCATAACCCAGTCACACATGGATCCATGTACCAAACCAAAAGAGTCTGAAATACGCAAAACGAGAAATTGCCGAAAAGTCTGAAAAACTCGAAACGGACCGCCCGCATACAGACTGTCGCCGCAGGCCCCGCCAGACTAACTTTTCCAGAATTTTTATTTTTCGATTTTTTGATCAACTTTCTGAAACTGCTATTTTTTTGTGGTATATGCAATCTCCAAAATATCTTTTCTTTCTCTTAATCAACAAAGATTTTTAAAGCACATTCCAACAATCTCCACCTTAACTTTAAATCATGTTGATACCAATTTAACCATCAACAACATTGTTGCTCTCTACCAGGTTGAAACTCTTAATCAATAATAACCTTGATCAAATTTAAACAACCCTTGAATCTTGATATCACCACTTGCATCCACTTGTTTCTAATTACCTTTTTCTGCTAAGGTAATTTAACAAGCCTACAAGTATGATTTTAACCACCCTTGACTCCACCTGTTTTCAAATGCCTCCTTGCAGGTTTTTCTTCTTTTATTTTGCAGTCCTTCAGCCACATTAAAAACATAATATCCGAGGCTAGCATAACCGTCCATTTGAGATGCTACAATAACCCTCCTTACCTTATCATGAGTCAAATGATAATCAGAGTTCTCTGTAATCGTTCCCCACTACTACTAGTATCCATAGTAGGAAACTACACCTCAAATTGAGTTTTCTCTGTTATAGTTTTTACCAGGTTTCTCCCTTGGTTTTCACTATTCGCTCTCTGAAAAAAATTCTCTACCAACCAAGTAAGTTATTTTAACCTCATCTCTTCCATAAAAACTCAATAACAACTCAGCAGTAACCTGCATTTTTATCCCTTGATTTCTACAAAATTCGCTATACTCCTTTGAAACTTTCTCAAGGCATTCATAACGCCTTAAACTCAAATCACATAGTTTTTCCTTGTCATGAAAGCCTTCACTAATTAAAGATGAATGAATAACAATATTTGAACCTTTTAACATATATAGACCACATATTTTAGGATCTTTATCAATAATCAATTCATCACACGAAATCTTCAACACTCTATGTTCAACTCTAGTATAATAGCCTAGATCGTCAAACACACTTATACATAACAAATTTCACTTGACTTCTGGAACATATCTCACTTTATGAATAAGAATTTCACGATCATCAAACATTTTAAGTCTGAACGTACCAACACCATGAACCTTGTAAGCCTTATTATCACCAAGGCGAACTACTTCACCTTGCATCATCTTTGAAGTTTCAAAGTATTCTATCCTTGGACACATGTGATAAGAGAAACTTGAGTCAATGACCCAACTATCTTCAGTTTCCAAACTCGATAATACTAGTACATCGGCATCCTCATAACTTTCCTCACCCAAGACAACTTCAACTTGAACAAAATTTTCATTGACCTTTCTCTCAGGACAATTCCCTTTAAAGTAATCGATTTTTTGAGAATTAAAACATTTTACCTTTTAAATTGTTAGACCTCTTTGATTTTGACACCCCTTTACGCTCACCTCCTCATCTTGACACATTTAAGCCTTCACCACTATCTTCAATTTTCAAATCTTTTACTTTTGAAAATTCTTTGAATTTCACCACCATTTGAACTTCATCCAAAGTAATAGTACCTTCCTTACCATAAAGAAGGGCATCCTTAAAGTGCTCAAAGGATCTGGGTAATGAAATCAACAGGAGTAAAGCCTTGTCCTTATCATCAATCTTCACTTCAATATTCTCAAGATCATCAATAATCTTGTAAAATTATGTAAGTTGCTCAACTATGGATTTATGCTCTACCATTCGGAATGAATATAATTGTTGTTTCAGAAATAACATGTGAGCCAAAAACTTTGTCATATACAATGATTCAAGTTTTTCCCATATAGCAACCACATATTTCTCCCTGGAGATCTCTCTTAGAACTTTATTCCTGAGGCACAAGATAATGGCACTTCTAGTGTTATCCACTATCTCGGTCTTATGTACCCGTGTAAGTCCTGCAAGAATAAATACTTCACTCTTCAAAGCATTAATACACTTTTCTTGAATTAAAATTGCTTGCATCTTAATTTTCCATAATCTGAGTCGTTGTTACCAGAAAATTTCTCGATCTCCCATCTACTAACCATGGTGCTCACTTGTAAACAATATTCCTTTGCTCCACGCTCACTGCACCACTTGTTGTGAATTACAACAAACCTCAATATCAATTTGTGAGGCAAAGAATAGTAACAACCAAAATAAATGGTCTACAACAATAATAATTCGTACACAGATAATATAACATAATAAGGCAAGAGAAAGAAGAAGGTTTGTTTAACTAGTTCGATTAAATGATCTACTCTGGGGGAGAGAGCATCTCTCTATTTCACTATACTCAGAAAGTTGTTACAAGATATTACAGATAAGTTACAAGAAAATAGTCTTTGCCATCAGGTTCCAAAGAACAACGCTGAAGGCTCCCAAAATTAACTCTATTTTATATCCCAGTGTTTCCCAACCTTTTCAACATTCAATGTATGAATAAACCAAACCCAATGTATAAACAAGTGTTTCCCAATTCTACAATTCCCTTAGATAACTCCAAAGGTTTCTAAAATCCTTGTCTTTCTAAGGTTTCCCTTGAGAATAACCAAAACCTTATGTTATGCCCTTAAACATTTGCTCTCCCTTTTTGCTGTAAGCTCTAAGATTGTCACACCTGTAAGTATATAAGAGATACATATTTATAATAGCAAATACCCAATAACTAGAGCCTAAAATCACAATCCAATCACACATGGATGCATGGACTGAACGAAAGAGCCTAAAACATGCAAGACGGAAATTTTTCGAAAAAGTCCGAATAACTCAAAATCAATCGCCCGCGTACGGATCGCTGCTGAACACACGAATCCGGCCATTTGGACTAACTTTTTCAGATTTTTAAATTTTCGACTTTATGATCAAATTTCTGAAACTCCTGATTTTCGTGGTATATGTAATCTCCAAAATATGTTTTCTTTCTCTTAATCAACATAGGTTTTAAAGACATATTCCAATAGATAGATTATCTTGACTTGTAACTTATCATTAACCAACTGAAAGTTCATCTCAATATGCTTCATTCATTAATGAAAAATAAGGTTTGAGACAATGAGGGTGTCATTCTTGTTGTCATAGAATATTGTAATTGTGATACGGTGGTAGAACCGACTGTTATACTAGTTTGTGTTTTGTATTCGAAAGTGTTGCGGTAAACAAGAGTCGCCACCGACTTTTCTTTTATCCAACAAAGGAAAGGGTGAAAAGAACAGAAAAAGAACTTTTCAAAATTATTTGATTAAGGGGTAGATTATGGAAAGGGAAGGTATTAGCACCCTTCCCATCCGTGGTTTTCCATGGGCTCTTAGGTACTTGCTCATTTTGAAAATTGCTTTTGTGTTTTGAATAGTTTTGTTTGTTTTATGATAACTTTTGTATCAGTCCTCAAGAGTGTGATAAAGCGTTTTTGAAAAGAATTTTGAAAGTGTGGTGTGAAAATGACTTAGTTTTGAGCAAGTACTTAACAGCTATCTACCTACTCAAAAAAGGCGTTCTTTTCCTCCTTTCCTTTAGATAGTTCTATCCTACTATTTAGTGAGTAGGTAGCCCTATCGTTGGATGTTTGAGGGACTATCGAAAGGGACATTTACGATCATTGAAGGCAACGTGTAGAGATACCTTAGCAGTTCGAAGGGACTGTCATCATATATTCGTAGGCAACATCGAGGGACAAGATCATTTCTCGTAGGAAACTCGAGGGACATTGAGGGACTATGATCTTTATGATAACTTTAAACT